AGAAGTCATTATTAATCCCATTTCCTTGGTTTGACCTCTTCATCTGAACTTGCAGGCCTGATAAAGATTGTTTATTCTGTTTATTATCATTAGCGGGCTTCTGGATATATAGAAAATGAGATTATATCATTATTTTTATATCGATATATTTAAATTTCTACAGGCTCTGCCGCTCCATTGATTAGAAACAAGGATACACGTGCTGCTTCCTATAGTGCCTCTCTCTAGGGAGGCTTCTCTTCTCTGCATATGTAATTTCCTTTTTCCTTGTCTCCACCCTGAAGAGTGAGGATTTCTGTCAGTTTCACAGAGGCGAAGTTGCAGTCTCAGAGAGGTCAAACAACTCTCTCAGCAGTGGAACCCATCACTCAGGCACAAGTGTCCTGCCACGTGCTACCCACATAACTAGAAAGCAGGGAGCTATAATTCTTGCCCTGTTTATTGGATTTCCCATTATCTTATTCACCTAATGCACTTAGAAGCCCTTAGGAAAAAAACCTCTAATTATGGAAAAATTTAACCCTACAGAAAAGTAGACAAAATAATGACCCTTTAGAGACCCTTTTAATTCAACCCAGAAATGGTTGCATTTACAGTTGCCAAAGGTTGAGGGCACTGAATGAAAGGGAACCATGAACTTGCCAGTTTCCTTTTCTTTCTTAAAACAAAAAAGATATTCAGGGCAAATTTTAGAATCATTGACGGTTTCTAGGAAGATTTTCTTTTTTGGAAGTAAAAAGGTACTCTTGTCTCCTTAATTGTTCTTAGTGTTCTTTGTCACCAGTCATGATATTCTTTGTGGAAAGTATTAATATACCATCTTCCTGTGTTCAATATTCCCATTAACAATAAAAAGTCTAATGAAAATATCTGCATGAAAAGCCCTGAACACTAATTTCAGAGACAAATAAAAGATGAACCAATAAGTGTTTCTTTGAAAATGAATGATGCAAATTAATTGATATCTTAACGAGCTTTCAGCATGAAGATTATTAGTTAGATGGAATCAGAACTGAAAATCATCTTTAAGGAAACGCTAAGGACACTGCAGTTGAGGAGAAAGATGTTATCTGTCAATGCTCAGTTAGAAATCTCTCTTGCTCAATGAGAACCTTTCAAAGAGGGAGCCAAGTGGGACAGCATGCCTTATGTATCCGTGTCTGCCTGTCCTAGCCTAGCCAGGTTTGGAGACTGGAGCCTAGTCCTGTTCCGGAGTTGATGGAAACCCACAGGTATAGGAAGTTCCACCCTAAGCCAGCCTCTGGGGGCCTCGTAATACCACCACTGAGTTGTGGATTCCTTCCTTGGTCTCTAGAATAGAAGCCCTGTGAGGGCAGAGCCTTCCTCAATTTTCTTTGCGTTTGTGATGCCAGTGCTAGCCTAGCTACCTGATTTAGAGCAATAATAAGAATATAACAGCAAGTAACAATGTAGAGCTTACTGTGTTCTGGGTATTGCTCTGAGCACTTTCCTTAAAATAATGCGCTTAAGCTTCATAGCAACAGTGTGAGGTAGGTATACTACTATCTCCAGCTTATGACTGAGTATATTGAGACACAGAGAGGTTGAGCAACTAGCCCAAGATTGCACAGCTAACCATGGTAGATTAGGAATTCAAACCACAGCAGTCTGGCTCCGGAGTCCTCGCTGTTAACCACTGTGCTATACTGAATAGTGTTCTATATCTATTTCTTGAATTAAATGAACAAAAGGGTACTATGAATGGATGCCTTGTCCCTATTGCCAGGCATCTAACTTCTAGTTTTTATTTAAGTTATCCAAAGTTCCAGAGCTTTATCCTACTCCGTACTAACCCCTGCCAGCCCCTCTTTGGAATGGAGGTTGGGGGGTGCCACAGATCTTTCCTGTATTCCTAAAAACTAGTTGCTGTCCTGTTTCAACCCAGATAGGCTATCAAAAAATTGTCCCTACTGAAGGGCTCCTATGGCCATGGCCTGATCTATCATCCAGTTTGACCTGGCCCCCTAATATCAGGGTCAGCTGAAGTTCCACCAGGTTTGCTTCTGTGGTCATTGTGAACGACAGGGCCATGGTCACTCTCTGTCTGCATAGACTTTATGGCAGGCTTTCCTACTGAGGCTGTTTGGGTAATGATGGTGTTTAGGGTGTAGCATTACAGGGTCCAAAACACTTACCTAGCGTGTTCTATTTAACAAGATAGTATTCCCTGGGGACAGTTCCCTGGAAGCATCTACCCATAAAGGGTAGTCAGAAAAAGAACTCTGGGAGTGAGCCGGCGGGTGGTGGAGGGAACCACAGAGATGATGCCTTCCACGTTATAGAGAAGGGATAGTGGCTCCTTGTCCTAGTGGAGTTGATGGGAGAGATGTGGTTTGAACTCAGGCCACATGGTACGGCAGGGAAGGCGTGTGACTTGGGGTTAAGAGGTGTGGATTGAAGACTCACCTTTCTAACCCACTAGCTAAGAGGCAGCATCATTCAACCTCTCTGGGCTCTACTTTCCCCATCCATAAAACGAGGATGATGTCTATTTCACAAAGTGGTGTTGAGCTTCAAGAGTTTTAAAAGTGCTTTTCACTTGAAATTGCTCCACAAATGAGTGATGTTAGGAAGGACCAAGGCATCCCCGCTCTACAGTCTTCCTTCAATCTGCTCAATCCCTCTGGATGCTTTTTGAGCCGGAATGCCATGTTCTCCCCAGACCGACCGAGGGGGCGGTTCTGCAGGTGGGGTAGTGCCTGGGCAGCTGCATTTTAACAAGCTCGTCTGCCAATTTGAACGCACTCAACTGTTTGAGACCCACTTAGCAGCGGCGAACACCAACACAAAGTAAGTGCTCCGGGTTTGATCACAGCCTTCGCTTCCTCTGGTCGAGGTCTAGAACCTGAGACCTAAAGGAATTTGGTTGACACCGTCTCTGTGGTTGGCGGAATTTTGGGGAAGGTGGGCGGGGCCAAGTGGATATTGCTGCCGCTTTCTGCTGAACACTCACGAGGGAAGCGGTGCAAATGCGACGGAAACCCAAGCCTCCTCCGGCCTGAGCAGGAAGGCCGAGGGCCGCACCCGGGCAGGTGGCACTGGTAAGCTCTGTGGCTTAGCAGCCTTGCCGGACAGCTGCCACCTGTCACCTGCCACCTGTTCTACTTCTAAGCTGGGCTGCCGAGGCTAAACTCATGTTTGGTGCACAGAGCTCCTGTGAGATGTCCCTTCTGAGTATGGGGGTGAGGGGAATGGAGGAGTGGGGGGTCTTCAGGCTTGGAAGAGAGGCAGCCTCATGGTCTCAAGTCCTCTCAATTCTGAAGTCATCCCATCCCTAGCTGCTGTCGCACTTCGGCCTCAGGACTGCCGAGCAGAGCTCCCTAACAGGAAGCCCTGTGTGCCTGGGGTGGCTGTGAATGTGACCTTCAGAGCAATACTTCTCTCTTGAGTGTTTCACCCCTGAGACTGCGGGGAGGCCTAAGTTCAGAAAATGACAATGCTCTAGCTTTCGGGGGTGAAGGGGAGATGCCAGATCTTTCTGTCATGCTCACCGCTCTCCTCCCGCTTCCTGATGGCTCAAACCTCCCAGCTCTGTCCCTTTGTGTGCTTATGGTGTTTGGCCAGGGAAGTGTGTGGGGTAAGAGAGGTGGCTCCAGCACTGCCCACGAAGCTGCTGCTCGGGTCTCCCTTGAGGAAGCCCCTTCCAGGGCCATAGGCAGGGCTACCTCAAGGATGGCTGTCCACCCGAGCTCCCTGGGAGGGGCCCTGGTCACTGGGCCACCAGCTGGTTACAAGGGTAACTCCCCTGTCACCCCCCTACTCCCACCCAGTGGCTGTGAGAACCCTGCCTTGCTCAGGATGGTCAGAAGCTAGTTCAGATTTCAACCCCTTCCTCTACCCACAGTTCTGGAAGGAAAAACACAAACCCCTCATAGTTGCAGAATTGTCTGTTTTCCAAAGTGCTATCGTAAGTCATTGGCTCATCACAATCACAGCAAGTCAGCAGCACGTTTCCCGTATTACAGAGCAAGATGAAATGTCCAGAGGAGCCGACAGAGGTCACTGAGTTGGTAGCCAGCCAAGGTCCAAACCACAGCCAAACTTTGTTTTTCTAGTTCTCAGTTCCCACTATCTTACAGGGTTGATGCCTTTGTACACTCTTTGCAAAGCCCATCTGCAGGTGTTCTAGGCACAGATTCATGACTGTTTGAGGCTAGTGTGGACTTCCCCAAAGAGTACTGCCAGGCACTCATGAACAGAAAGTTTCAATAACCAAATGCAATTGGGAAATCAGTGTATATGATATAGTGCATATTAGACTAGTAAAATCTCCAAAAGCCCTTCAGTTAGAAACAGAATGAGTTCAGTTCAACCCAGAGTATCCGAAACTTGTTTGGCAACACAGCTTTTCCCTCCCACATAATGGCACAAACAAGCCACCAGATTTGAGGACCCTCCCTGAAGAGGGTGAGCCAGGCTCCTTCACAATTATAATGATGACAAAGACACGAAGATGAGAGGCGGCCACTTGTTTCTGTACACAAAGAAAAGGAAGTTGCTGTGCCTCTCTCACGCCCCGTGCCCCATCACGGGGAGGAGCTCCAGGACTTCCTTGGCCGGTTCTGCCACCTGCACGTCTCAGAATCCCCTCAGTGCCCCCAAATCTAGTGGTGTGCTGAAGCCAATTGTTAACGTTTCAGAAACAGTGTGAGTCAGTTGTTAAATCATCAGGAGCTTGAAATTAAATCACCACTCCTGTGGTGGGAGTATTTATTTATACCATAAAAATCAGCAAACACTAGAAATCAGGGTTCCCCCCACCCTTCCAGAAGGCTGGGTTACCAGCATACCACTGGCCCTGGGACAGTTTTTGAAATTGTTGGAAAACTTGGGAGGGCTCTGACAGCTGAGTGCTGGGGGAGAGGGGACATGGAAGTCCTCGCTCCAACCCTCTGGGATGAGAGGTGGGAACGGCACTGAATAATAATCTTCCAGCTACAACCCCAAATGAGTCAGAGAGTGCCTCCTGGCCTGCTTACCTCGATATCTGTTACCAGCCAATGTCTCCAGAATTTCTGTGTGGGTTCCGCTCTGCTTGGGGCATCTGGATCCACCATCAACAGGATATAGGTTGCGCCCTGTAACACATGTACCAAAAGGTAATGTAGCGTCATGGCTGAAATAGGAAAATACCACGGGCAGACCTCCTTTTCCCGCCATTCCAACTGAGAATGGCTGAGTAGCCCCGTGGCATCCTATCCAATTTGTCCTTGTTCTCGTGACATCCCTCTCACATCACGTTTATTCTCAGAGAAATGGCATCTGTGAAGCAGACAGCAGGACTCTTGGCTTCCCCTTTGTGAGGAAGAATAAATCCAACAAGATATACGTACCAATCACCTGGGAGTTCCGAGCGCTGTGCTGGGTGCTGTGGAGGAATTAAGGAAACCTAAAACAGGTCTCTGATCCTCAAGAAGCATCCAGTGTAGTTGGAGTGACTTGCTTATCAATTCAACAAATACATGAGGACTTATTGTGTACCAAGAACGGCACCCATCATGAAGAATACCAGGATTCATTCATCCCTTCAACAAGCCTTTGCTGAACACCTACTATGTACCAGGAGCTGCTCCAGATGCCAGGAGGCAACAGAGCACAAGACAGTAAGGTTCATACTTTCAGGAAACTTTTATTCTAGGTAAAAGGCATAGATAATAAAAATAAATAAATAAGCAAGGGAACATGTGAGTACTGCTATGATGAAAATAAAACAGGGTGGGATGAGAGGTGGGAAGTGTTCTGGAAGGAAAAAAATAGCTGCTATGAAGGTCTTCAGGTGGGAAAAATAAGTAGGCTTTGAGGAGCAAGGAAGAGCACCATTGTGGCCAGGGACAAGCCAGGGGGAGGGTGGACATGGCAGGTCGGGGAGGGAGCAGAGGCCAGGCCACAGGGGGCTCTCTAGGCCTGGGTAGGGAGTGGGATTTTGTTCAAGGTGCAACACAGAACTGCTTCAGGGTTTTAGGTAGGACAGTGATATGCTCTGATTTATGTTTTTAGAGGATTCTTTTGGATGCTGAGTAGAAAATGAATGATCTCCAAAGGCCAGAGAGGAGGTCAGGAGGCCAGTTAAGAGACTCGCAGTAGCATGTGAAGGATGATGGCATCTTGGATTAGGACGGCAGCAATGGAGACAGAAACAAATAGATGAGTTGGAGGAGTATTTTTAGGTAAAATCGGCAGGGTTTGCTGATGGATTCAATGGCAGGGCAGTAAGGAGGGGGATGGAGAAAGAGAAATTGAGGATGAATCCTGTGTTTCTGGCTTGAACAACTGGGCCACTTAATGGCACAGATAAGACTTGGAGAGGAAGCTCTTTGAAGGTGGACATTCAGAGTTCTGGTTCAGACATCTTGAGTTTGAAATGCCTCTCAGAAGACAATCAGGTATGCATGTCAGAGTCTGTAGTTCAGAGGAGAGATCAGGAGTGGGTGAACAAATTTTGTTGTCATTGATATAGAGATGGTCTTTAAATCAGTAGAGCAGACACACAGAAGAAAAGAGGTCTCATGGCTGAATTGTAAAACATGCTAACATTGAGAAGAGGGGAGAATCAGGGAAAGGGGACTTTGGAGCCAAAAAGGTGGGGGGAATACCTGGAGAGCAGGTGTTACAAAAGCCAGGATAGAAAGCGTCTCAAGGAAGAGAAAGTGATCAGCTGTATCAAATGCTGCTGAAAGGTAGGGCCAGATGAGGACACAGATGTGACAATCCGATTTGACAACTTGGATATCACTGTTATCATGATAAGACCGGTTTCAGTGGAGTAGAAAGGACTGATGCTTGGTTGGAACAGGCTGAGCTGAGATGGGAGATGAGGAATTGGAGGTAGCTATTAAAGATGATCATAAAAAAGGAAGTTTTGGTAGGAAGGACAGCTGAGACATGGAGTGGCTGTAACTAAAGAGGAAAGAAGAGTCAAGGTATTTTTTAGAGAGAGGCATAATGTTTGTAGACCAATGCAAATGGTCCAGTATAGAAAGGGAAATAGGGATGACAGAGAGGAGGAAGGGAATTGTCACAAGAGTGGACTTTGAGAAGTGGGGAGGGGACAGGATCCAGAGTGAAAGTGAAGGGCTAGGTCTTGGGTAGAAGCAGAGGATGTGGGTTCCGATGCAAGAGAGTTGGAAGGTGAGATAGTGAGGAATGAGGAAATTGTCTTCTGATTACTTCTATTTTTCAATGAGTTAGAGGCAAGTTCATCAGGGGAAGAGGGATTGTAGGAAGTTTGGGGACACAGAAAAAGGTGTGAGATCGTCATTTAAGAGAGTGAGAAAATGAATATACCATAGATATGTAGTAGGTTACTAGATAGTATTACATTTCATAGTTGTGTGCTTTTTAACTGTTCAAGTACACGTGCTGAATATGTGGTAGCTGGGTTTAACTTGGATAGGGACTTAGGTGTGAGTATGATGGAAGAGAGGGAATTGAGAGAGAAAGAAGATGAATGGAGTAAATAGATAAGAGTCCTGGCCCTCCCCTTAACAGGGAGAGGCAGGCACACCCTGTTGTTCTAAATGCTTTCTGGTGTTCTAAATGCTTAAGCAGAGGAGCATTTATCAAGCATGGACGGGACAGGGAAAAGGGAGATTAAATCTCTCTACCCCAGTAGTCCAGGAAGGCTGCAGAGTTGTCTTTTGAGCTTAATCTCAAAGGCTGAGCAGGTAAAGTATCAGGAAAAGCACTCGCTAGGAACAGGTAAGGGTGTGTGCAAAGGCAGTGGTGGGTGTTTGGGGAATGGCTGGGCCATAAGGCATCTGGAAAGAAATAGTAGGTGACAAAGTTGAAATGGGTATTGGGACCAGGGAACAGAAAGCTCTGCACATCATAAGTTGCTTAGAATTTGTTATGCAACAGGACCCACTGAAATTGTTTGAACAGGCAACTCATATCATCAAACGTGTGCTTTGGGGCTGGGCATGGTGGCTCACATCTGTAATTCCAACATTTTGGGAGGCTGAGATGGACTGATCGCTTGAACCCAGGAGTTCAAGACCCACCTGGGCAACTGGCAAAACCTTGTCTCTACAAAAAATACAAAAGCTAGCCAGGCATGGTAGCCCACGCCTATGGTTCCAGCTACTAGGGAGGCTGAAGTGGAAGGATTGCTTGAGCCCAGGAGGCTGCAGTGAGCTATGACTGCACCACTGTACTCCAGCTGGGATGACAGAGTGAGACGCCGTCTCAACAAACAAAAAATAACACATGGGCTTTAGGAAGGCACATGATGAGACATGATGAGGATAGAATAAAGGATGAAAAGCAGAGCAAAAAATCCAAACAAACCCTGAAAACTGCAATACTCCAGAGAAAGACCACAGGGATTTCCATTCAAATAGTAGTAATAGAAAGGAGAGACATGTGTACTGCAGAACTCACAGCATGAGGTGACCGGGTAGAGCAGATGTGGGAGAGGAAGAAGCCAGGATGACTCTGAGATTCTGTCTTGGGCAGCTTGATGATAATAGAGCCATGGATATTAGGGGTAGCAAAGTCAGGGGACAGTGAGGCAGTGAGTTTGGTGTTGAAACCTACAGGGAGAGATGCCCTTTAAATGAGGTTGGAGCTCTCTCAAGACTTGGCAGATGGGCTGTGGACATGGAGAGGGACGAATCTATAGATTCATGGATTGTCCAGGGAGAATCTGTAGAGTGAAAAAGAAAGAAAGACTGCGGTGGAACTTCAGTACTCAAAGGGGGACAAAGAAGGGAGAAAGAAGCTGAGGAGAAGAGAGTTCGGCAGAGAGCCAGGGGAGTTAGTGTCATGAATGCCAAGAGAGAAATGAAGGAAAGGATAAAGGTTGTGTCAGTATCACAGTCATCAAGGCAGATGAGGGCCACAAAGTGATTGTTGGTTGTGACAATGAGGGGATCGTGGACACCTTAAGATGAGTAGTTTAGAGGTAAAAATATTGACTGTTGGATTTTAAGACCCAGAAGAAGCCGTAAACCACATACTAGAGGCTACAGGAACCTAAATCAGAGAACGAGAAGATAAACCCAAGAAAATCTCCAAGGACTCAAAAGAAAAGAAAATAGTAACTGAAAAAAAGGAATATATACAAAAGTGTGTTTGTGTAAAATCCCAATAGAATCCCATAAAGAGAAAACTGTACATAGTATCTGATACATCCAAGAAAGTAATAAGAAAATAAAAAGAAATAAAGTGTAAATATGGTAAAAGAAGAAATGAAGAAATAAAGAAATAAAGTCATATACCCTCTCTCTTTTCCTTTCTTCTTCTTGTTTTTGTTTTGTTTTGTTTTGTTTTGCAAATGACATGATTGTCTACATGAGAAATTAAAAAAAAATCAACTGGAAACAAAAGTAATGTTCTGTAAACCATTACAAATCATACACAAAACTGGTACTTTTTACATATTAATAATAGTCCTAAAGTATACATTTAAGATCCCATTAACAATGGTAACAAAACATGTAAAATAAGTAAGAATGAACTTGATGCCAAATGCAAGATTATACAAAGAAAACAAAAACATTATTGATGCACATAAGAAGGAAACTTGAATAGATAAAGAAATACAATGCTTTTAAATTGAAATAATCATTTTGTAAAAATGTCAATAAACCTTCAATTAATTTTTTAATCTAGCACAATTCCAGTCAAAATCCTAAATATTCTGTGAATATCACAGAATAATTCTAAAGGTCATAATAAATGTAAAAAACAAGTAAATAAAAGAAAAATAATTATCCGAGGCAATATTGAAAAAGATAAAATAGGGATGGTATTAATTTTGAAGATATTAATGTATCTTATTAAGTTACAATAATTAGAACAATATGGTGTTGATTAATAAAGTAAAGGAATCAAAATAGAAAATCCAGAGAGAAAGTCAAGTTTTCAATATATGTATATTTACTATATGATTGTTATTTAATATATGACATAGTTATTTCAGATCAGTGGGGAAAAATAGATTATTTTATAAATGTTATTGGGAAAACTGGCTCACTATGTGGAATAAATAAACTTAGGTCCCTATTTCTTTCAGACACCAGAAAATTTCCTTATTTAAATATGAAAATGAAAAACAAGCTTTAAAACTGGTTTAATA